TCTTTAAGTTCATGTATTAATACATTTATACGCTAATGCAACAATATATTGAGTTCATGTTGATTGAATGGTATATAATACGCTGCAAGAGGTTTATGCAGCTATGACATAGACGAACCAGTTTTGGTTCCCAAACAATTCTTAAAAGAACCATTTTTATCTTAGTGTGAAGAACATTTTAATCTAAATAACCTTTTTGCACTATAAAGAACCTTTTGTGTAATGGAAAGGTTCTGTGGATGTTAAAGTTTCCTAATGGATCCACAGATTCCAATAAAGAACCTTCATTTTTAAGAGTGTATAAAAACCCCCCTGAAAGGAAAATGTCACCTCTTTCCTGAAAGTTAATTTCTGACACTGACTCAGAGCTGTCATTACCTTCCACGAGTCTGTGTTAAATCACGATACAGTGTGGGTTGCTGCTCGGCTGGGAAAGCTCAGCCTTGTTTCCTCGAATTGTTTGGGTTGCATAATTAGTTGAATATAAATCAGTGAATAAAACCCAATCTGCAATTCCAACGATAGGCCATTAAGTGCTAAACACATTAGCATTTTTCTGATTCTTTTTGAATGACTATATTGAAGACAATTTTCTATAATATGCAAATAAGATGATCACAGACTTCATTTGTTAACTTTTCATTAATAAAACTTTACGAATCACAGCCCGAGTAGCAGTGTTTGAAGCCCTGTATGTCTCACATCACAAATGTAGCACAACTAGCCACCGGCTCCTCTGCTTCCTCTGATGACGTTTGATGAATTTTCATTTGGTGATGTGCAGGGTTTGCATTATTGAAAAGACTTTAATGTATCACGTATTCTTTTCGTTCTCGCTCCCTCTCTTTCTTTTTCCATTTATTTTATTTATTTATTTATTTTTTACCTTGAGCACCCTCACTGCACCATCAATGGAACAGTTCCCCAAAACTCAAGCACACTAAGTCCTGCTTATCCTAATGGGTCCTCTTAGGCTGAGAGGAGATACAACCATGCCAGACTCAGACAAGAGACTGAGCGAGAGTGCATGTTCACTCGAGGGATGATGCGCAGCAGGAGCTCAAAGGAGAGAAGAAGGTGGAGGAGGGAGGAGGGGGTGAAGAAGAGGAGGAGGAGGAGGGGAGGAGAGAGTCTCAATGGCCAACTCTGAATGTAGTTCTTTTTCAAGGTCAACCTCATACACATTGGAACGGTTATACAAAAACAGCATAAAAACAGGCTACATACAATGTGCACTTTCACTGGAAAGTGAGAATAGCTTTACAAAAGATGCTTTCTTCTAGATTTATGTTTTCAATAACAGCCGCCATTGCCTCTGTATCATCAGGGCTGAGCGGCGTGCACGACGTGAGCAATTTTAACGTGCTGGCGTTGTGATAACGGAGCAAATTCTTTTATTGATTTTGTTGTATATCACAAGAGTTTCCCCTTATCATCACTCTATAGGTCTACTGTCAGCCCACGCAGCCTCGTAAAGATAATTTCACATATTGCACAGATTTGTCACTTTTCCCCTGAAGACATCCACTGAGCACAAATTCATGGTTGTTCATTAACAAGACGGTCAATTCCCCAAACAATGTGCTTCATGTCACAATAAAAAGCAGGTTTTATGGCGTGTAGCAGTAAAGCGCTATTAAACAGATAAAGCACACCAAACGGGCATCTGGAGGATTATAAAAAGGGCTGCCACACGAATAAACTCACACACCCCAAACCCACAGCCATTCAGAGAGAGGGGTTATTGAGTGCATGTTGAAAAATTGCGTAAATGCTGCCCCTTTCAGGAAGACTTCGGAGCGGCTGCGACACGATGCAGATTGAGGAGAAAAAGATGAGTTTTCTCTCAAAAGAGGTTTACTCCTGCCCCCATGTGTTCAGTGTGTGACTTTTATGTAACTCTTCAAAATTGGAACATTTCACATAAGAGAATTTCAGAGAAATTTAATTGTGTCCAAGGTTAAATAAATAAATGAATAAATAAATCAAATTTAAATATTTATTTATTTATTAAATTGATGTGCAAAATGCACATAGGCCTACAGTATATACAGCTGAAAGATTATAATACAGTATTCTCTATCATATTTATTAACCATAACACTGATAATAATACAATTTGAAATGCTGCCCATTGACAATTAAGAGTTTATTTGCAAAAATAGATAACTGTTTTTTTTTTTTCAAAAATCATGTTTTTTAGTATGTTATCATGTTTTTACTGTGTTTTATTGTGTTAGTTAGCTGTATTCTTAAGTTATTTTTTACCTAATCAAAATAACCCAACTGCAGTTTGATTGAGATTAATATGAAAAAACATGATTTTTGAAAACTGTTAAAAACAGAGTTATGTTTTTGCAAATGAACTCTTCAAAACAAACAAAACAGCTAAGACCCTTGTGCTCTGGTGAAGCAATAACAATTTGTCTCTTAATATCAGTAAAACCCAAGAAGTAATTTTAGACTTCATGGTGTCCAGTGACCATTGTTCCTCCTTATGTTGAATAAGGCCCAATACTTCCTAGGAGACTCAAAACAGCCAGCATGAACACTACAAACTTGTGTGGAAAGAATCCAGACTGGCAACATCACTGTTTTAATTTGTTTGTCAGATGCTCCGCTGTGGGCAAAAAGGCTGAAAGACTTTTTCATGCAGCTTGTTGTCTAGTTTGTGTGTACTCTGTGTATTGTTTGTATAACGAGTTTACTGTATATCGAGTATGTTCTATATTTTCTGTAGTGTATATTGATACCAAAACCTTTTTTTTTATTATTAAAGGGCAATATTTGCCCCAAGGGTTGATTTTCTGAGGCTTTTTTTTTTTTTTTCAAACCTAAAAAAAAACATTGAGTCATCCATTTAGGTCAAAATGCAATTTATTAAATTGAATCAACATCATATACAAACAATATCATGACACAATAAACATTCAGCTAATACATTTATGGACTCGATATTATACAGTTCTCTATTGTCTACCATCAGAATTAAATTTGAATATAATTGCTGTTCCTAGTTTTGAAGTTAGGAGGTTTTATTTCATGTTGAGTGTTTCTCTATCTGGATTTATTATTATTATTATTATTAGACTATTATTATTATTAATAATAATATGTTCTGCACTGTGGCTCCAGAAGTCACTGTATTTCATGTTCACCTCTAAAGAGAAATGAAAATAAATCTTTTTCTGACTTTAATACATTTCTAGGTTATGCTATGAATTCACATACTGTCATTTATTAAGAATATAACAATTTAACAAAATTGTCGATCATGTTATTCTTCTCCCTCTTCTACAATGACAGTGTGTTTGCCAACCCTGCATATTCGTTTGGAAAAGCCAAAGTCGACCATAGTGCTAATAATAGGGGTGCTTTGTCTTTTCTGTCTTGATAATTTATGTTGAATTAAATATTAATTGATGAACATGACGTATTGCAATATTTTGCATATGATGGATTGCAAAGCATTCTAATGAAATATGCTGGTTTAAGCTATTATTTTCACCAGAGATAAAATGGTTTGATGGTTCCAGCTAATCCAAGCCTGGTCAAGCCGTCTTTTGGCTGGTTTTAAAGGAATTTAAGAAATTTTCAGCTGGGCAATCTGAAACGAGCTGAACACCAGTTTAGCCAGGCTGTAAAACTAGCTTTTATATTTTGATATTTATTCGGTAGTTTTATGTACGCTGAACAATGTTCCGTTTTAAAAACATTTGCCGAGATTTATTTACAAGTCTTGCTAAAATATGTCGTATTCGCACTGTTTCGTTAAAGTCCGCATGAAATCAAAATTGACTTTATTTACTTTACTAGCGCACATTGCTAGTCTTGATGTAAACAATTAATCCGTGCAAGTTAATCCTCTGAAAAAAATTGTTTGTCTTCATAATCTGAAGGCACTGTATTTCATGTTCACCTCTAAAGAGAAATTAAAATAATCTTTTTCTGACGTTAATACATTTCTAGGTTATGCTATGAATTCACATACTGTCATTTAATAAGAATATAACAATTTAACAAAATTGTCGATCATGTTATTCTTCTCCCTCTTCTACAATGACAGTGTGTTTGCCAACCCTGCATATTCGTTTGGAAAAGCCAAAGTCGACCATAGTGCTAATAATAGGGGTGCTTTGTCTTTTCTGTCTTGATAATTTATGTTGAATTAAATATTAATTGATGAACATGACGTATTGCAATATTTTGCATATGATGGATTGCAAAGCATTCTAATGAAATATGCTGGTTTAAGCTATTATTTTCACCAGAGATAAAATGGTTTGATGGTTCCAGCTAATCCAAGCCTGGTCAAGCTGTCTTTTGGCTGGTTTTAAAGGAATTTAAGAAATTTTCAGCTGGGCAATCTGAAACGAGCTGAACACCAGTTTAGCCAGGCTGTAAAACTAGCTTTTATATTTTGATATTTATTCGGTAGTTTTATGTACGCTGAACAATGTTCCGTTTTAAAAACATTTGCCGAGATTTATTTACAAGTCTTGCTAAAATATGTCGTATTCGCACTGTTTCGTTAAAGTCCGCATGAAATCAAAATTGACTTTATTTACTTTACTAGCGCACATTGCTAGTCTTGATGTAAACAATTAATCCGTGCAAATTAATCCTCTGAAAAAAATTGTTTGTCTTCATAATCTTTCATCAAAATCTGAACATTTACTTCCGCTCTGGAATGGCATTCCTTTTCTGATGACGTCAGTTTGACGGCTTGGGCAGAATATGCTTAAACACACCCCTCTAACCGTTAGATTGCTATGAGTGAGAGACAGAGAGGAGGAGCGTAAACATAAAACCATGCCCGCTATTCAATATTCCGTTTCAGATGGAAATACGTCATTACACTGAAATAAAGTCGGCAGCAACTTCCGGTTCACGCGGACTTTAAGTTTCGGCAGCGCTTCGTCTATTTCCGTTCCCACTCGACTTTTTCCGCCACGCTCTCGGCAGCTCTCGCTCAGTGCAGTGCGGTTGATGATCGGATTTTCGTCTCGTTCTCTGTGTTGTTGTTCTCGGTGACGCGACGGAGGTGTAGCCTGACGCGGTCTCTTACGTGTCGGCCTGAATAAAAGTGTAGCTCCAAGGGCTCGAGAGTGACGGAGGGAGTCTGTATCGGTAAGAGGAGACAAGTGTCCGGAGGGAAAGGGCTCGTCCCGAATGGCATAAGAGTCTGGTTTGGGTTCGGCCCGTTGGAAACAAAGAGATCATGGCGGCTGTGGTTGTTGCATGCAGAGGGAGGGAAGGCAAACGGGAGAGCAGCACAAACCCAGGGTTGGAAATATTGATGCATGGCTGATCATTTAAAATGCAGGGAAATATGGATGCACAACATCTCTGGGTTTCTCAATGCATCTGTGCAGATCATATATGTGGGTTTTCCCCTTTCTTGTTGGCTTCTTTTACACACTGGCTAGACAAAAATGTGTGCTGCTGGGTGCATTCAGAGTGTAATACTCTTATATAATTCATTCAGGAATAATTTAATCTTCTCTGATGTCCTTGGTGCATTGTGCGATTTATTGGACACACAGATTAGATTGCAGATCTTTAGGATTGGGTTATTATTGCATTGTTTCATTGTATACTATTCTAAGTGCTGTGATTGCACACCCTCGAGCAAATACATTTTTATACACAATATTGATTTTTTTTTACCTTCTATACATTGCATATGACTAATAAATGCAGTACTGTATTGCATATTTTTATATTAAATTCCACAGATCTATTAAAATACAAGTCAACTTGATTATGAATTTTAAGACATTGCTCCTGATCTGTCCACAATGCCAAAAAAAAGCAAATAAGCTTTTTTTTTTTTTTTTTTTTGAAATAACTGTAGGATGTCTTTTGGATGCACACTTATAGTTTTAGATGCAAAGATATATAAATGCACAACAGCTACATGCTTCCTAGAATAATCAGTCTGGCAGAAAATAGGATTTGAAAAGTAGAGGGAGAACTATGCATGACCAATCAAACCACATAGACTCTGAGCGTCATAAGATCATATTACTGTCAGTTCATGCTTTCTGCCATGCTGGAGCTCGCTGTCCCTTTCTCATCTTTTTCTTTTTTTAAAGTGCTTTATTGGCCTTATTGTTTCACACACAATTAAAAAACAGCCACTAATGGTAATAAAACACTGTGTTATTTCTAATATATTTATTTTATCATTATATATTCATATTATATAATCACAAAACATTATGATATTTTAATGATCTTACTAGCACTGTTTAGTTTGGTGGTATAAGATGTTTCTATTTTTTTATTTTTTTTTAAGCTGAGTATAATGTCACAATTTTAGGGGACTGTTTGTTGGTTCGGCCAATGGCAAATAAGGGAAGTGTTTAAAACAAAAAAAAAAACCTGTTTAAACTGTTTTTGAAAATCTTTTTTTTTTTTTTATTGATGTCTTTTTGATATTTGTTTTTTTGTAATTGAGTCTGTAAGTTGCATTATTATTTGTGATGTTAAATTTGAAAAAAGCATGTTATATAAAAATTGTGGTGGGATATTGCAAGCACCACTTTCCTCAACTGTGAAAGCTTTAGCCTCCAGTGTGAGTGGGATTTGTATCCAAGAGGGCTGAAGCCAGTCACATGTTCATTTATGAAAACCTATAGCCTTGCTAGCTATATATGGGGTAAATTAATCCAACTGTTCCTCTCCAGAGGAAGAGGCCTGGAGGTCAGGCACTCCAAAATCTACAAATGCTGAACAGTCAAGGGAAGCCAGGACTGCATTCACAGCATATTGTGATATACTTTCAATAAAAAAAAGCTATATGATGATACCTTTATTGCAGTACTTAATTTTTTATCACTGGCCAGTGCACTAGTAATTTTACACTTTAATATTAGATGTTATTGTAGACCAATGCAGAAATAAAGATTTTCAGAGCACCTTGGGGTTACACACTGGGACTTTATTTAATGAGAACCTACAAACTCTAAATTCACACTGGGATTTTGATTCATTTTTACTGTGAACTGTAATGCATTGCATCGCCCTATGTAGGCGTATGTTTCAAGAGAGACCTGCCAATATTCTGTGCTAAAGCATCAAAGGTCAGAGTTCACTGTATCCTGAACGTAAAAATGTTCAGCAAGGATTCACCAGTTTGTTTCTGTATCTTAAAATTTAGCAGCTAAATGAAGACAAGACATATTTGATGCAGTTTCTTCCCTGGACAAGAATGGTTTCTGGGAAAACCGTTTATCAATGGACATGCAGTGTTGCAGTCTCAGTTTTTAGACCAAACGGCCATTGTATTGATTCATAACTGCGCTTGTCTCGAGTGCAGGAAATTTGCACCCTTATTTCCGACGTAATGTCAAGTGATTAAATTAAAACTCCATATAGAGTTGCAGCACAGGAAAGATTTAGTCAAACGTAACTAATGTGTGGCTATATTTGTGTATTCTAAAATTAGCTTCCCTTTCCAAGAAAGTCTAGAGCTTCATTTTCATTTGCTTGTCTTATAAAACTGGACTAGACATTTTAGTGGATATTAAACTTTCTTTGGGTTGAGTTTTCATATTCTTATCATGTTACAATATTATACCAGCTAAACTATATTATGATACCAAGTAGTATTACAATACCACTGGCTTGGATGCAGTGATTCTTATAGCATTGCAATGAATGTGATGGCACCAGGATGCCATGAAGCAGTGGTACTTATATCAAACTTAATGCACATTTATTTATAGAAGTCACAGTAACGAGGAAGAAAGGAATTCTGTCTAATCTGACATTACTTGTACAGAGGGCTGCAACTGAGCCACAGACTGTATTTTGGAGAAACAACCTGCTAATCACTTACATTTGCTTCTGTATATTAAGCTAGAATAGACAATATTATTTTTACATTGCAACAGTTACACGATTGAGATTCTTTCTGCAGAACACAGAAGATATTGTGTGTAACCAAACATTTGATGGTCCCCATTGACTTGCATAGTATTTTTTTTTTCTATACTATGAGAGTCAGTGGGGACCATGAACCATCAGTTACCTATATTCTACCCAACTTTTATGATAAAAAAAGAAACTTAAACCAGTTTGAAACAACTTAAGTGTGAGTAAATGATGACAGAGTTTTCATTTTGGTGAACTATTCCTTTAATGTCACGTTTGATGTCATTACTTCATTTTTGTCAGATACTGTATGCCAACAACAGTGTTTTCCGAGGTTTTCCCTCAGTATTTCCTCAGTACTATGGAGGATGATTTCAAAGTAGAAATGTCAAAGTTACTGCCTAGTATAGTAACTTTTCTGTGTCTGTCTGATCAGATTTCTGCAGTAGCAGAGAGTGAAGACTTGCCAGAGTCAGTGGACGGTGTAACATTTTTGTCTGGGTTTCCCTCTTATAGGTACGCTTCATCTGCAATGCCACATCCAAAGTTTCAGGTTGAGACTGTGAAAGTAGTGTTGATAAACAGGAATTAACTTACTTAAAGCTGCAGTCTGTAACTTTTTTTGGTTAAAAATGATCCGAAATCAATATTTGAGCAAGTACATAACCAACCAGTGTTCAAAACCATTGCCTTACTTTAGCCCGAAAGTAAGGACATTTTTCACGGGAAATTCGAGCATGGCACTGCGTCATTACGTCACGTCTGTAAACATGAAGTTGTCCCGGCTACTAGGCTATCGCATGTGAGGATCCTGCAGGTGGCCGATCGTTTATAGCCTTTTCTCACAGCAGCCAGAATAATTAAATGTATCATTTTGATGGCGGATTGTAATCCATAAAGGATTATGTGTTTATGAAACACATGTGAATGAAATTAAATTATATTCCAGTTATAAATGTGCTTCTGATTACAGATAGCCTGGGATTACAAAGATTTGTATTTTAAAGAAAACCAGTTTGAAGGGAGCATAATTTGCTTGTTGGGTTAAAAGAATTTCTTAATATGAAATTCGAAGAGTATGACAATTAGATTAGATTGTGCAGAAATTGAAATCTACACGCTAATACACACTATACTCATAGTCACCAATGCTGATGTTGTTAACATTAATCATTTGAGAATAAAGTATAACAATAATAATAGTTTGAACGGTTTGATGTGATATAAGCTAACCGATCTTTAAATTTAATCACCACTGGTAGCAAGATTTATGGTAATGCTTTTTTCATCAGTTGGTCAGAACAAACGTGGCAGACTTGTTACTTGTTCAGATGGCAATATACGGTGAAAATTCTTATTTGGGTCATATTCCAAGACGTAGGCTAGAATCTGTGATTGCGAAATGCAGTAAATATCCACACAGGTGCGGTGACTGACTGCCAGACATACTCTTCAGAACATTAGATTCATCTGAGCTGGAGCCGCACCCACTCACAACCCACACAAGCTAGATAATTCCGCACACAGCTGCAATTCCAGGTTTTCAAACAGAGATGGCGACAAAGAGGCAAAACCTACGGACTGCAGCTTTAACATATATTAATCATTTATGTAATTCAAGTCACCATGAAATAAAATTTGTTATTTTTGCATAGATTATTGCAGTGTTTATTAAAATTCTCATAATTATTATTATAATCATTTTAAAATGAATATCTCCCGAGTCTCTCCTCTTTAGCAAGATGACGCTCACATGAAACAATCACAGAAATTAGCAAATGACAACATAATTAAGTGTAATAATTAAGTATTATTATAATTAATAATTAAGTTTAATTAAGTGTTTTGTAGGATGTTAATGGGATAGTTCACCATCATTTATTTCTTCCAAACCTGAGTTTCTTTATTCTGTTGAACACAAAATAATATATTTTTAACAATGTGGGCCATTAACTAACATTCTACTTTTTTTTTTTTTTGGTGTGCAGCAGAAGAAAGAAACTCATGCAACATTAACTAACATTCTACTTTTTTTTTTTTTTTGGTGTGCAGCAGAAGAAAGAAACTCATGCAAAATTTAAATGGAACACTAAATTAAATTTTACAGTGGGATGACATGATATATGTATGATGATTAAAAAATATTATATATATGTAACATCGTCAGCTCTTGCTTGTTATATTGATTGTTTTTGTCTACTTCAAAATAATGGCACTTTGTTTCTTTGTACCTGTGGCAAAAATGTAAACTGAAGATTTTGTAATTTCCATCCTGTTTCTTACCAGCTAACTCGATGATCATGGAGTCGGGAGCCGATGCCCAGCAGGGTGCAGACACTGCGGTCTCGGAAACTGAGAACCAACAGATCACACAGGCCCAAATCGCCACTCTTGCACAGGTAGGAACATAATCAATTGTTTACTACCATGTAGTGAATTCAGGACTTATCGTAATCTGTTTATTTTGAATCATGAAGAGCTAAAACATTGAATCAAGAGTCTGACATTAGAGACAGGATGACTGTGTTTGAATGTGTGTGTGATGTTGGATAGGTAACAATGGCTGCCGGACACGCTAGTGCCACAACACCCACAGTCACCCTGGTGCAGCTGCCCAATGGTCAAACAGTACAGGTGCACGGAGTGATTGCTCAACCTTCAGTCATTCAGTCTCCACAGGTGCAGACTGTCCAGGTAAGACAACTTAAATGCATTTCATATTTGATGTATTCCATTCACCTCACATGGTTCTCTTAACATGCAATTATGTGAAATTAGTGCCATATGGTCAGATCTAAATATGACAGAATTGTCTGTTGATCAGATTTCCACATTAGCGGAGAGTGAGGACTCACAGGAGTCAGTGGACAGTGTGACCGACTCTCAAAAACGAAGAGAGATCCTTTCTAGACGCCCCTCATATAGGTACGTATACGGTCTTCAATGGTTTCGCATGAGATAAGGACATTTTCGAGTCAACAGCTATCTGTGATCTACAGGAAAATCCTGAATGACCTGTCATCAGACGCTCCAGGAGTTCCGAGAATCGAAGAGGAGAAATCCGAGGAGGACGCTGCGCCTGCCATCACTACAGTGACCATGCCAACTCCAATATATCAGACCAGCAGTGGCCAGTACAGTAAGTCCATGACTGAAGTTTTGAAATATTTTGGGGTTCAGACCTACACCTCCCACTTTATACGCACTGCTCAACATGTCTGGTGCACCATTATACCATAATTCCCAACATATTTGGTTCCATGTGCACAGCTTGTCACCAAATCAAGACCAGTTTTTGGGAAAATTGTCACCAGACCACATCTTGATTGCTGTTTCTCCTTCAGTCGCCATTACACAGGGTGGAGCCATTCAGCTTGCAAATAATGGTACAGATGGAGTGCAGGGATTGCAGACTCTAACCATGACCAATGCAGCAGCAGCCCAGCAGGGGACCACCATCCTGCAGTACGCCCAGACCAGTGACGGTCAACAGATACTGGTGCCCAGCAATCAAGTGGTAGTACAAGGTGAGCTGGACTGTTTTCCCCTGATTTTTTACAAAGATACAATCCCGTTTTAAAGGGGTCATCGGATGCCCATTTTCCACAAGTTGATATGATTCTTTAGGGTCTTAATGAAAAGTCTATAACATACTTTGGTTAAAATTTCTCAATGGTAGTGTAAAAAACGCCTTTTTTACCCTGTCAAAATCAGCTCTGTTTTCAGCAAGCCATTCTAGTCCATGTTGCTTTAAATGCTAATGAGCTCTGCTGACCCCACCCCTCTCTTCCGTGGGGTGACGAGCAGACTGTAAACTTCAGCCGCGAAACTGGCTAACTAGCACGTTATTAGGAAAGGCGATTTGCAAAGATTCATAAAAAACCCTTATACTCACTTCTTCTGTTGATGAAGCTGGATCACGAATGATTCGCGCGAATATAGACGCATTTAGGCAGATCAGGATCGGCACATTCCCTTCAAAATGAAAGTAACGTTAAAGGCCCGTTCACAACAAGCACGATGATTATAAAGATAACGATAAAGATATAGTTCTAAAAATCGTTCTCAATATCAGAATCAATCCTGCTGTGACGAGCTCAAGAGATTTTTATCATTATAGGATGGATGTGTACACACACTTCCAACACTCATTTATGTTCAAACAACTTGAATTGTGAATTTTGTATCTGATGACCCCTTTAAGGAAACAAACCAGGAAATTTGCTTAAGTTAGTAAATAGTATCAATTTTTATATTGTTTTCAACTTTTTGCCCTACTATGTTACTCTGGGCTATTCCGTGTTAAAGGTATCCATCATGATTCTATGCTTTAAGTCAGAATTTGGATTAATTGTTTGTTGGATGCATTTTGTCTGTCCTAAAGCTGCTTCTGGAGATGTTCAGGCCTATCAAATTCGTACTGCCCCAACTAGCACTATTGCTCCAGGTGTGGTCATGGCATCCTCTCCGGCCCTGCCAAGCCAAGGAGGTGCTGAAGAAGCCACGCGCAAGAGGGAGGTCCGCCTCATGAAGAACAGGTAAAAACCAAAACAAGTTTTTGGTAAAAGTCAGCCTTATCACTTATGGTCATACATTCTGAGCCTGTTGATACTCTCATTTATGGACATTACCGTTTGGGGTTGTTAATATTTTTATTTTTACATTTTTGGATGAAGTGTCTTACGCTCACCAAAGATGCATTTAAAAAAAATACAGTAAAAACAGGAATATTGTGAAATATTGTTTCGATTTAAAATAACTGTTTTTGATTTGATTATATTTTGAAATGTGATTTATTCCTGTAATGGCAAGCTGCATTTTCAGCAGCCATCACTCCAGTCGTCAGTGTCACATGATCCTTCAGAAATCATTGTAATATGCTGATTTTGTGATCAAGAAGTGATCACTTCTTAATATTATCAATGTTGAAAACAGCTGTGCTGCTTAATTTTTTTCGTAGAAACGGTGATGAATTTTTTTCAGGATTCTCTGATGAACAGAATGTTTCAAAGAACAGCATTTATTTAATTTTGTTTTAAAACATCAATGTCTTTACTCTTAGATTTGATCGATTGAATATGTCCTTGCTGAATAGAAGTATTACCCCCGGGTTCACAGACAAGGCTTAAGCCCAGTCCTAGACTAAAATGTAAGTCTTAGCTGTTTCAACTGAAAGAAACTTGCACTGATTGATCTTTAAATATATCAGTGCCTTTGTTTTGTCTCAAGATGCACCCCAGTAATGTTTTTTTCTAAGCATGTTTATAAAAATTACTTAAATGTCCTAATTGAACTATGCCCTAATCCTGGTTTAGTCTAAGCCCTGTCTGTGAAACCGGGCCTTAATTTCTTATAATCTTAACTTTTGAACAGAAGTATAAACAATATCAATATCTTTTTACTGTATCAGCTGCACAGATTACTGACTAATTTCGATACTTGAGAGCTTTCTTACAGATTTATGCAAGGCAATGTAAATATAGCCTGTGTGATGTGAAAACAGAGACAAAAAAAGAAATCTGATTGTCAAAATATTGGATCTGCGCATTAGAATTTGTAGTAAATGCATCCTAAAATACTGGCTGTTTTTCATTATGTTGATAATATTCATGAAAAAATATCATTAACATAAGACATCAACAACAAAAAAAGGATGTATCTGAAGGATACATGTAATTGTAATTGTTTTAATTTTGTTTGTTAATATGTATAATAGCATTTATCTTTAAATAAAGGCATGTGCAGTGTAATATTTATCTTTAAATAAAGGCATGTGCAGTGTAATATTTATCTTTAAATAAAGGGATGTTCCATAGTGTATTTTTGCTGTAACATAGAGAATCCTGAAATTTCTGATAATTGCCTACTTATTTTGTCAACCCCATTTTGGACCAAAAAGATTCATTAAAACATCTGCTAAATAGATCTCAAATATATTTCCCCCCTTTAGAGAGGCTGCTCGTGAGTGCCGTCGAAAGAAAAAGGAATATGTCAAGTGTCTGGAGAACCGTGTGGCCGTTTTGGAGAACCAGAACAAAACTCTCATCGAGGAACTCAAAGCACTCAAAGACCTGTACTGTCACAAATCAGAGTGATGTACCACCCGTTCTCCCTTCATTCTGGCAGACTTGCGTGTACAGAGACTAAAGGACATAAAGGACACATGTTTTCTTATTTTAAATTGCTGCAGACTGCCTGTATGAACACACAAGTACGAGAGGGAACTGAACAGAAGCCCCTGGCCAACACAAATCTCTAAAAATATTGGATCGTGTCATTAAAGACAATAAAAATGCTGAAAACCTTACTGTGGACATAAACACAAAAGTATGTTCTCAGCCATCTTTACTTCTGGACTCAAACCGAAACTCAGAGGAGGGGTTTGTGGGAAAATGTTTACCTTTTTATCCAATGTGCTGGTGTACAAGTCGTCAATAACTTTTAAAAGAGATACAAATAATGTACAATAATAATAATTGAACTGACATTTCAATAGTATGGTAGGCATCGAGAAAGATTTTGTCTTGGAGTTAGCATCATTCCCTCTTGTTAGCATCATTCCCTCTTGAGCTTTTAAAGGTTTAACGTGTCTGACTGTTACTTTTATTTGGTGTATAGTGCTCTTGTGTTTTAAGTTGACATTTTTACCTTTAAATATGAACAAACTATATGAAATGATGAAAGCTGATTTACAGAATCTATGCCATTTATAAACAGAAATATTGTGTATTGTATACAGAACAAGATTATAGCCTATGTATATTTCGATTTTTACATTTTGCTCATTTTAGATGACAAAAATTGACCTAAATCATTTAATTTCATAAAATACTGCCTTTGCAGTAGCAACAGTTGCACAAACACAATATATAATAAGGTAATTTTATTGCAGACATTTGGTCAAATATACACCAAAATTCACATTACAATGTCAGGAATTGCTCAGAAGTTAAAATTTCTTCACATTTATATTTGGCAGATCACTTTTGTATTATGTTTGTGTATCATAGAGCTATAATTGGATGAAATACAATCCAGTACATTCTATCTCTGGCATTAAAAACAAAAGCATGTTTTATAAATATTACATTAGCTTTGATATTGTTATATGGTCAATTTTTCATTTCAATACTAACTGGGAGGCAGTGTCTTTGTATTTGATCATGTGATAACATAAGTAAAGAGTACATGTTATCTATTATAGCATATGCAATTTTGGCAGCTATTTCATATTAAAAAAAAAAGATATGTTAAAAGGATTTCTCTTGGTTTCATTTTTCTTTTGGTCACATTCAGTTGCTTCTGAAAATACAAGAAACAACTGAACAGTTGGTAACTTAAGTTACAGTTTGCCTTCAATCAATGTAAGTTGTATTTTTTTTGTTTTGTTTACAAAGTTGTCTCAGTTGACCCAAACTGTTTAAGGCTTTTAAAGTTCTTGATGAATTTTTTTTTAATCTGTCAATTATCTGACTTTTAAAGTTGTTTAAAAAGCAAAAGGGGTTCACATTTTGGTTGTAGTATGACATTTTGCATATATTTTGCACTGAGGACAGAAAGTTTTAAAAGAGATGTTAGTAGCCAAAGAGACTATGAATTAAAAATGCCCATCAACAACTGTACTGAAATGTACCTGTGTCATCTGTTGGCAAGTGCATCATCTGCTGCAACTCTTAAACTTCGAACCGTCTGCCTGACGTGTCATTTACGCATTCAGGCGTGACAAATTAGGGAAGCAATCTCTCCTCAGCAAGCGCTCACGGTCCAGATCTGCAGTCTCATGCAACCCGATTTCCCTCACAAAACCAATTATTTTCTGACACAAGAATCTGAATTGGCTCATCGAAGGACAGACTGACCTCAGCTTTCAGAGAAATGCAAATTCTGTCTGTTTTCAGTGATAGAATCTTTATTAATTTTTCTGAACTGACATTAACTTTTTCCCCCCTTTTGTATGTACCCCGTATGCAATGAGATTGACCTACTGCCATGCTGGCCAATGTGAACTCCGAAATATGCGACTGTGTGTTTGTCTTCATGCATACAAAAGACCAATCAATCTAAAGCAATGTTTGATCCCACTCATTTTGGACAAATACATCATGCACTTTTTGTATGATAGCTTTCACCTTTTGGACACTATGTACAGAACTGGTAGGATTTTATAGTGTTTCACAAGTTTAGAAGTGTATTGTATATACCCTGTTTGCACTCTATTACTGTTAAAACACAATTGTGTGTACTTGTTGTTCCCCCACCTCCCTTTTTTACACAAATGTAAATCTTTAATAAAATACTAATACTGCACAATGAGTGTTGTGTTTGGAAATACTGTAATGCAATGTGCTCAACACCATACTCAAGTGATTTTTCAAAGCTGTGAATAAAACAGGTTATTGGAGTATGATTTACAATAAAGTATTACTTCAATCTTTCTACTTTAAAATTTCATGTTTAATGTAATGTGTTCCTTGCCATTTCCTTGTCTTTTTTTTTTTTTTAGAAAATTCCTAGCAATTTCTGAGTAAACATTGTTTCAAAGTAAATGCTAAAGGGAGCTGAATGAGACCCCCGAATGAGTCTGAAGCATTATTAACCCTAATTTTCCTCATTAATTACTTTTTATTGTCTGACTGAATTTACATTGCAAGATTTTACATTTATTTTTCACAAAATTGAATTTAAAATGTAAAATAATCAGGTCATTCTTCAAATGGAGTGGCAAACAAGAGGCAGAATTAGTTTAAAAAAAATGTAAAATGCTTATATATAGCCAAGCCTGCATTTATTTGATCCAAAATACAGCAAAAGCCATAATATTGTGAAACATTTTATATTTAAAATAACTGCTTTCTATTTGAATATGTTTTAAAATGAAATGTATTTCTATGATCAAAGCTAAATTTTCAGCATCATTATTCCAGTCTTCAGTGTCACATGATCCTTCAGAAATCATTCTAATATTCTGATTTGCTGTTCAAGATACATTTATTATTATTATTATTATCATCATCAATATTTAAAACATTTGAGTACATATGTTTTTTTCCAGGATTCTTAATGAATAGGAAGATCCAAAGATCAACATTTATCTGAAATAAAAAGCTCTTGTAACATTATACACTATACCATTCAAAAGCTTGGAGTGAGTATAAGTTTTTATTTTTTGGGGAAGAAATTATAGAAATGAATACTTTTATTTAGCAAGGATGCTTTAAATTGATCAAAAGGGATGGACAGAAAGACAATGTTACACAATATTTATATTTCAGGTAAATGCTATTCTTCAGAACTTTCTGTTCATCGAAGAAACCTGAAAAATTCTACTCAGCTGTTTGCAACATAATAATAATAAATATTTTTGAGCAGCAAATCAGAATATTAGAATGATTTCTGGGGGAACATGTGACTGGAGTAATGATGCTAAAAATTCAGCTTTGAAATCACAGGAATAAGTTACATTTTAAAAGGTATTCAAATAGAAAACAGTTATTTTAAATAGTAAAAATATTTCCAAATTTTACTGTTTTGATGTACTTTGGATCAAATAAATACAGGCTTGGTGAGTCTGGTGTTCAAAAACTTTTGACTGGTAATGTACATACACATACAATATGTAACAATTGTATGATCTATCGGTAGCCTATTTAAGGTTATTTCTATTCCACTGCAAAAAAAAGAATGACCCAACCATTTTTTTATTTCAGAGACGATAACTGTACACCACTTGCTGAAATAAGCATGAATAGTACTGTTTGAAATGTTTATCATTCCATAGTTTATACTATTTCACAAAAGAATAGTAGGCACTGTACAGTATGCACTGTGCAGTATGCAGTACGCTAGTATTCCATTTCATTCTGTTCACAAAGAGGAGTGTGAATGGGCGGGGTTTAAATCTTTAGCTTGCCGGCGTGATTGACAGTTATAATCACCAATCCTTGAACAGATATTTATTTTGTTTTGGTCCCTCGTCCAATCGTAATTGATGGAATGTCGAAAAAGGGCGGGCCATCACCTGCGTCACTCGGAGCAGATCATCCCTTCTGCTGCACTGACCGGCGAAGAGGAGGGGATAACAGGGGGACTCTCCGACGAGACTCGCTGGACAAAATCTAATAACTCCAAACAAACCCGGAGCTTGAATTAGGCGCATGTAAACGGACAGGACTTTATTCATCTGCTGCATTAAAAGATTCATTTTCTCTCGCTACGGGCCCGAAGGCCTGAGGATTTGAGAGATTATTGGATCCAGAGTTTCTGAGCCAACACACAGATCTGCCCTATACATGACGGATACATGACGGATAAATGCTTGGAAGTCTGTTCTTCAGGGGCTATTTCATCTGAACCGCCAAACCGGCTTAATTTAGGACACATTCGGACATTCAAATCAGAATTAAAGGGATGGTTTATCTCAGTTAGCACGGGGGCTAATAACTCGCTTATTCACAATGAATCAATATTAGCCGTTAGCAGTTAGCATGTGCGGCTAATTTAAAAAAATTAATCCGTATTCAATTATCCCAGACTGATATTTTCTAGTGATATGCTGTCAGTCACGTGTCTTATATCCGGTTGTGTTGATTGCTCGGATGCTAAAGCTTTAGGTCTTCTGTTGCACTGTGTCTAAATGCATGGAGTCCCGTTATATGACTGGCACAGATAGTAAAATACCTCGAGTCTGGAACAGCAAGACAGCACAGCAGTAAATGCTGACACTGTGTGTTTATTTCAGCCCTTCATGCACCTTCATTTAGCTTGAGTTCATTCATTGGATCCACTGATTCACATTTGATGACAGAAGCAGCCTAGACTAACACACCTGAGCAGGTAGAGCACATACTTGTGTGTATCATCATGGGAAATATAGCATCCTGCTGCGTGTCTCCCAGTGGGAGCCCCAAACTACCCCGTCAGGTGGAGCGTCTGGAGGACTATCAGATCAACACAGACCTGAGCGATGACACCGGTCCATACTTGCAGCACATCAGTGACCGAGAGGTTCCCGATGGTAAGTTCTAGCAGGTGACCACGATTGCTCAGTCCTGCTAGTGGAGATCAACCTTCTAGACTAACCCTGTTCAAACACACCTGAACTAGCTCATCAAGGTCTTAATGTTTACGTGATAATAATACAGACATGTGTTGGAAATTAACTTTCGATGTGGACCTCCACTAACAAAACAAAAAGTGGTTCTCAATTGCACATTTTGGATGTTTCCACAAATTAACCTGATTTATATCGTCTGTTTATTAGAACTGGATGTGTCTGACTAGTTTCAAAATGTGCAGTTCTTGGGTTATCTAGAACCAGATTTGAGAACTAAATCTAGAACTTTAACCAAAATGTTGTAGGTTTGAATCCTGCAAGTGTTGTTCCATGACAGCAACTGTCACCACAAAATTCTATTCTATTCTGTTCTGTTCTTTTCTATACTTGTTTCCACATTTGTGTGCCACAGCTTCTTGAGGAACTTTACTGCTGTGATCCGATGCCTTGACCTCATCGTCTCACGGGTCGGGTTTCTGTTAAGAGCTGA